ATTCTCATATGATCGAGAGTTGGAAGTGAATGGAGGGTCAAATCTTGACCGGACAATCGGCTCCGCTCGGTCTGACTGGCCGGACGTTGGCCGCGAGGTCGGTCAGTTTATTTGATTGAGGAGAACATGTCCGAGTAACCGGACGACTGGAAGGTCGTGTGTGATCGGATGGCTGGGGGCCCGCGTCCGGTCGACTCGAAGAAGGGTCTAGACTTGAGAAAGTGTGGCCGGACGCGTCCGTTCGGTGGTGACCGGACCACGAGTATCCGGCGTCCGGTCGATTCTGATAAGCATCCAAGAGCGACGGACGCGTCCGTCGGTCTTAACCGGACCTGTCAGCGTCCGGTCATCACTTGGAAACTATTGCGCGGGTTGAACTGACCGGAGCGTCCGGTCAATATGATCGAAGCGTCCGGTCATCCCGCAGAAGCTCATAACGGTTAGTTTTTCAGGCTGCCTTATAAATAGAAGCTCCAATCGAGTGTGGAGTCACTTTTGCTCATTCCAACAGCTGAGAAACATGTTTGTGAGTGCCAAGAAGAGCAAGGTCCAAGTGAGGTGTTTGTGATTTGAGAATCCAAGAGTGAAACCTCATTAGTGAATCAAGAGTAGACAAGTGTGCATCCATCTTCTCATTAGGCTTGGCGTGGTCAAGTGAGAGAGTTCGTGCTTGTTACTCTTGGTGATCGCCATCACCTAGACGGCTTGGTGGTGATTGGGAGCTTGGTGATCACCGGCCGGAGCTTGTGGGTGACCCAACTCAAGTTGTGAGCGGTTTTGGGTGATTAGCATGACGGAGTGTCGAAGAATCAACCCGTAGAGAGCACTTGATCCTTGCGCGGATCAAGGGGGAGCTACACCCTTGCGCGGGTGCTCCAACGAGGACTAGTGGAGAGTGGCGACTCTCCGATACCTCGGCAAAACATCGCCACGTTCCTCTCTCCATTTACTTTGAGCATTTACTTTAAGTATTTACTTTGAGCAATTCAATACTCGTCTTTACATTCATAGAATTGCTATGCTAGAGTAAGTTTGGAACATAGGTTGCAAGTCTTTTGTGCGTTGATTTGATAGAAACACTTTGTCTAGGCACAAGGGGTTAATTGGGCTATCCGTAGAATTTGATTATTGCAAGAAAATTTAGAATTAACCCAATTCACCCCCCCCTCTTGGGCATCTTGATCCTTTCAGCTGCAATGGGTGATTTCTTCTCCGGCTTTGATCTGAATGTGCGTTTAGAAGATGACGACGACAATGTTCCCCTGGATCTCAACGAGCTAATAATGGAGGATGACAACAACAATGGTAAGCAATAACGTCAAATTAGTTTCTCAGTTTGTGCCTACTAATGTTTGTTTTTTTACAAGTAGAACATAATGTGGAGGCTTCCGTTGAAGAACCCCACCGAAGGAAAGAAATGTCTGAAGAGCTCCGAAAACAGGTTTATCAAGATTTGTTGGCTAGAAGCAACAATGGGAAACTAGGCAAGAAAGATACTACAATTGTTGCTGATCAATTTGGCCTTCACATTCGGTCAGTTCAGTGTTTATGGAAGCGAGGTAAAACACAACTTGCAAACTCTGTTCCGGTTGTGGTTTCTAGTCTAAAGAAGGGTAAAGTTGGTCGTAAGGCAATCCCTGTTGATTTGGAAGCATTGCGCAACATCCCTCTAAAGGAAAGAATGACTATAGAGGATGTGTGTACCAAACTTAACATCAGCAAATGGAAGATTCAAAAGTATTTGAAAAAAGGTTTGCTTAGGCGCCACTCTAGTAGCATCAAACCATATCTCACTGAAGCTAACAAGAGGTGTAGATTAAAGTGGTGTGTTGACATGATTAAGAGGGATTTCCTTGCTGATCCAAGGTTTAAGGATTTGTATGACTTTGTGTTCATTGATGAAAAATGGTTCTACCTCTCTCAAAAATCTGAAAAATATTATTTGCTACCCGAAGAAGATGATCCCCATCGGACTTGTAAGAACAAGAATTACATCCCTAGGCTCATGTTCTTGTGTGTTTGTGCTCGACCAAGGTTTAGGGATGGGAATTGTATTTTTGATGGTAGGATTGGTTGTTTTCCACTTGTTCGATATGAACCGGCTATGAGAGGTAACGAGAGAACCGGCCGTGTACGGAGAGACTTGGTTATGAAGCCCATAACTTCGATCACAAGATACGTGATTAGAGATTTCATGATCAACCAAGTGTTGCCTGCCATTCGAGCCAAATGGCCAAGAGAAGATGTGGGCAAACCAATCTTCATTCAACAGGATAATGCACCTTCCCATTTGAAATTGGATGACCCGGATTTTTGTGAGTCTACTAAGCAAGAAGGATTCGATATTCGCCTAATTTGTCAACCACCCAATTCTCCGGATTTCAACATTCTTGACTTGGGTTTTTTTTCGAGCTATTCAAACAATTCAATACAAGAAGAATGCAAAAACAATAGAAGCTCTAGTTCCAGCGGTGCAAAAGGTAATTTGATCAAATTGTTCACACATGTTTCATTTTTTCTTCAATAACAAATTTGCTCATTCATTCATTTCTTGCACACTTGTTTTGTAGGCATTCATAGAATATTCGGCACACAAAGCAAACCGAATGTTTCTAACACTACAAAGTGTTTTGATGGAAGCTATGAAGGTGAAAGGATGCAACAAGTTCAAGATTCCTCACATGCAAAAAGAAACATTAGAAAGAGAAGATCGGCTACCAACTTCTATCCCTTGTGAACCATCTTTGCTAGATGAAGCCGAGGCTACTCTTGCTGCATCAAACAATTAGAATGATGCTAGTTAGCTTAATTAGTAGAGACATCCTTGTAACAGTTAATTAGAACTAAAGCTAGTTATCTTACCGATGCTTTGGCGTCATCCTTTCCCGGCAGCAGCTCCTTGTAATGGTTAATGAAAAGCTCGCAGTCGAACTCGTCGAGGCCATGAAGCATGGTGTCGATTATGTAGTCCGCGTGGACGAGACCGCAGCGAGCATGGCCACAACCGCAAGTGCGCACGATTCCATGCTTGGCGGTCCTCATGCATGAGATGACAACGAGCGCATATAAAAAAAGAGCCCGGCGGCAACGAATCCGGCACCATCTCCGAGTCCGGCGCGAGCTCCTGCAACTCCGGCGCCATCTGTGAGTCCGGCACCACCTCCATCTCCGAGTCCGGCGCGGCGACCTCCTCCGGCTCCTGCGACTCCGGCGCGACGACCTCTTGTGACTCCGGCGCGATCTCCTGCGACTCCGGCTTGAACTCCATGGTTTGGAACGGCGGGAGTGGGAGGTGGGAGCTGATGAGTGGCGAGCGCGAGAGGCCAGCGGCGAGCGTCACAGGCCAGCGGCGAGCGGACGAGCACGAGCAGCGAGCAGATATTAACGTTGCGCGGGAGCCGGAGCGCGGCGCAATTAACGCGGCGCGGGAGCCGGAGCGAGCGCATGCAGGGGCAGCGTCGTTAACAACTTTGCTTCTACACTAGAACGACTTTCTTTCCTCAACTTTGCTTCAGCGCTAGAATGACTTCTAAATCCTATATGGAGGAAGTACTTGTGTAAAAATAGTGTGTGGCAACTGTTGGGAGTGTTGTTACTTCTGAAAAATGACGTTTTTGTCCGCTCAGCTGATATAGCGTGATACATCTATCTGTTTGTTCCCTTGGCTCCAATATCTGCATTGCCCATCTCAGCAGTGAACCGAATTTTTTGCTCCCCTGTGCTGCCTTGCTGCGACATGGGCCACGAGTCTGCATGAAAGCAATTCCGTTTCAGTTTGAAATCGGTTTTGCACTATCAACAGCAAGGTACGATGTTTCTCCATTTTGGGCGATAGCGATGTCCAAATGCCCCAACACTGGTCCTTATGTTTCACCAGAGTGCCCCAACACTGTTTTTTACCAGGAGTAGCCGAGTAGGTGTAAATGTTTCGGATATTTTCGACCGATCGAACGAAGAGCTTCACTATCCGTATCAAATATACCATATCCAAACTCGGAGGTTTACTATCCGTACTGTGTATCCAAATACTCAAATAATATACCATATCCAAATACGGAGATTTACTATCCATACTGTGTATTCCAATACTCAAATTTGGATAATCCGAATACGAGGTTTACAGTACTATCTGTATTTGTACCGTTTACACCTAGTCGTCGACGGATCCATAAAACCATAACCCATCTGTGAGGTCATCAAATTCTTAAGAGTACATCCCCCATCTGTTAGGTCCATTCTTAGAGTACATTAACCGCAGTCTGCTGAATCCATCACCACGGGTTTTGTATGCGGCGCATCGCCATCATCGGCCGTTCGCTTCGCTGAAAAAATAAGCCGAAATACTGTTCCGGCTGATTTGTTGAGAGAGAAAACACTGTTCCGGCTGAAAAAACAAGCCGAAATACTGTTCCGGCTGATTTGTTGAGAGAGAAAAATACTGTTCCGGCTGAAAAAACAAGCTGAAAAATACGGATTATAAGACAAACGAACATGGCCTATATACATATTTAATAAATAATCCAAAATAACCACAATTAAATAGCGAGGCTAACGATACTAACACACCAAATGACCATTAGGGTCCAATCCAGAGGCGGACTCAAGTACCGTACCACAGTACCAGTGCCACCATTGTAACGCAGCCATCATATGCCAATCAGCCAATGCCATTGCGACAGACAATGTGCATGGCTCATAGTTTTTTTTCGGGATCGTGCCACGGCACGTTTTTCATTCCGCAGAAGAGAAAGTTTTTGTTACGAAATCAGGATTACGGTAAACCGAAGATTACCAAAACCCACCGAACTCAGCCCTCAAACCCTCGCACGCTGCAACCAGGACGTCTACCGTCTCAAGCGGAACGGCGTCGCGAGTCAAGCGTCCCTAGATGCTTGTATCCGGCAGCGCACGACATGGCTAGTCAAAGCTAGTTGCTGAGTGCCGCATGGAGCACCATTGCTGCTGCACCTGCACGCTCTCCACCTCGTGGTGATCACTGATCAGGGACTCGGCGAGCCAATGCAGTCTATCTGCTGCACAAGCTCCTCAACCTCTTTCTCGTCCATCTCCGCCCACGGCTCCGGCGCCGCCTCAGTGGCAGCCGCGGCCGCGACGAGCTCCTCAACCACTTTCTCGTCCAGCTCCGCCCACGGCTCCACCGCCTCAGTGGCAGCCGCGGCAGCAACGAGCTCCTCCACCTCGGCGTCGATCTCCACCTGCTCCTTCCCGAGCAGCTCGTACCATATCATGTCCGTGGCGTTAGCGGTGTCGGAAATCTGCGCCGCCGCTGCCACTGCCGGGACGGGAGCCGCCTCGACCTCGGCGCCCGCTGCCAGCGCCAGCTTCTCGAAGGCGAGGGCGTCCGCTGCGTCCGGCGCGGCCGCGGCGGCGTCGAGCAGCCGCCGCTTCCTGCCGGCCTCTACGTGCGCGCCGCCGCGGCCGCGGCGCGCCAGCAGGCCGTCCAGGAAGGCCGGGTTCCCGATGGCGCGCGCCAGGAAGGCGGTGCGCCGCTCCGTGCCCCGCACGCGTCGCTGCATGTCCAGCAGCTGCGCGCGGGCCTCCTCCTGCTCGCGCCGCAGCCGCGTCAGCTCCCGCGACAGCGCCTTGCGGTCCCACCGCAGCCTCTCGAGCTCGCTATTATCACGGTCGCCGTCGCCGGCCCCCGCCGAAGACGGAGACGCCGTGGATCCTGCGGCGCCCCCGCGGCGCCGCCTGATGTTCACGAGGAGGTGCCGCTGCCCCGCGAGGAAGTCGGCGTGCGCGAACTCCCACCTGTCAGGGCTCACCTTGCGGAATCCCTGCACGTACAGCATTGCATTGCACGCGCACGAACAGCAAGCACGTCACACTGACATTACAATGTTTGTTAATTACGAATTGAGATGTGATTACGGACGTAGGTGTTGAGCTGCCGGAGGAAGGTGTGGAAGTTGCCGTGCTTGAAGCGGCGCGGAAGGTGCCCCGCCGCGAAGGCGTGTGGATCCCACACCACGAAGCTGTTCCGAGCCGCGCCCCACGAGATCACGCCGTCCGTCGCCGGGTCCTCCACGAGCTCGAACGTCTTCGCCAGGAACGGCGGAACCGCGGACCCCGCCGGCACCTGCCAAGGCTCCGGCGCCGGCGCCGGCGCCGCGCCGGCTCCGGCCGGCCAGTGCCCGCCAGCATCGCCGTCGGCGTCCAACACCACCATCCTCCTCCTGCTTGACCGTCACGGCTGGGCGCTCCATCCGGCGGAGGGCGGCAGGCCCGGTGCTGCGCTGAGTTCGCCTCGTTGAGTACTCCTCCGTCCAAAAAAAAATACAATTATAGAATTAGGCACACAAACCAATGGCGTAGAGAAATTACGAAAATGCCCTCGGAAATATCAGTCTGCCTCCTTCGTGTGACAATGTGATGTGACCCAGTCCAACTGCAGGCCTGCAGCACCGCTCCCAGCATCGTCCCCGCACTGAGTACTTGCCGATTTTTTCTCTTTGAATAGTGCGGTGGCCTGTATCGAGAGTTCGAAGAACTCTGACTCCGAGAGATACGGAGTATCCGTGAGAGAGATGGTGATGCTTTTTTCACAGCCGTACGGTGCAAGTAGGTCCCACTTGATCTGATCTAATTGAACAGTGTCTAGAATTGCATTTTTTTTGACAAAATTCAAACTCTAGGATTGCATTTTTATCCGAATTTTTTATTTTTTAGCATTTTTTTTGAAAAATATTCACAAATAGATACTGATGGTTTGATTTTCGTTTATGGACCATGACCTCGACGCTATGGCTTTTGGCGTCGAGCAAACACGTCTCGGCGCCATGAACAATAGCGCTGAGGTCTTTGCGAAATGTCGGACGTGGCGGTGACTTGACACCGACGTAGACTAGGCCTTGGCGCCGAGCTCGACAACGTAGATCTTAGCGCCGAACTGTTACCCTGTAAATCCTGTCGTTTAAAATGAAATAAATATAATTATTTCAAAGAACATGCAACACCACCGTTGCGGTTAGAATATGCACGACTTAGCTCAAAAGGACTGGGTTCGATTCCTAACACTGGATCTTGTTTTTTGCTACATTTTTATAACCAATAGAACCCAACGCCATTGCGGGCTTCTGCGGCGGCCCGTTTTCAGCCGCGTACGCATGCGGCGTTTGTCGCGGCGGTCGCAATCCCGTTTGTCGCTGCTGCCTTGCATGGAAACGAGAATAGTGACTGGTTACGTACGTGTGTGTTCATTTTCTTATTTACTTCACAAATTTTTTTAGTGATCCATATGTGAACTTAAAAAAATATACGTAAATTACATAAAATACTATATATTGTTAGGAATATGTGATTGATTTTTTTTAAAGCAGAATATTTGACATATGGATATGTGCAGCAGATCAATTAAAAGGTTTGACATATTCCTAACGAAAATCTACGTATGGCCAGACTTAATATGGCCACATATGGCCTTATTTACTTCACGGTTAAGTCTGGCCATATGTTTAAAAACATATATTAAGCCTTAGATTTCATCACAAAATACTATGTATCATTAGGAATATTTGACATATGGATTTTTTTGCAGCAAGCTCGTTGGCTCGTGATGAACTGGGAATAGTAGCAGCAGGAGGAGGAGCCTCAGGGCGTGTTCGCTGGTCTGGATGGTCCAGACCAGCCGGCTGACTTCCCTCACAAAATATTTTATCAACCAGCCGCTTCAGTGTTTTTCTCTCACAGAACCAGCCAGTTTCAGCCAAGATTCAGAGCTGAAGCTAAAAAGAATTCCAGCGTGTTCCTGATGCAGGTGAGGTACAACCGCAGCATATTGGCCTGCAAGAAGAGACGCTCATTAGCATTTTGCAAGAAGAGACGTTCATTAACATTTTGTACTGTACTGTATGAGGCAATCACCACGGGACAGATTGGTGGTGGCAGGAGCAATTTGTTTTTGGCTAGACATTCTATTCAGTCAGTGTATTTTCAGTTCTTTTAACTAGGCCACTAAAATAAGTGGATGCTGCTTTTCCAGTAGAAAACAAATCATGGATCAGTGGAAAATATATCTTCTGGTGGTGTTGCTTTCAGTTGCCATATGCTGTTTTCAGCAATAGTGCACTGATTTGCAGTATCTCATTCCAGTTAATTGTGACTACAGCTTGATCCGATCTGCTTTGCATCTCAGCTTCGTACTACCGATAGCAATTGGTGACGGACTTGAAAAGACATTGCTCGATACAAGACACTCGCCCATCTACCTCAAATGAGAAAAACTTTACACGAGCGGACACAGAAAGGAGGAGAGGGAAGGGCCGGGCATACCCGGTGGGTGCTCATCCGGCGAAGGGCCCAACGGCGCCGGGGCATAGGGCGGCCACGGCGGGGGCGATGGCGGCAGTGGCGGAGTCGCCTGTGGCGATGGCCGCGGCAGGGGACGAGCCGCCCGTGGAGGTTGCTAAAAAAATCAATCACATATTCCTAACGATACACAGTATTTTGTGTAATCACATATTCCAGCTGAACCGCAATGGCGTTGGTTGCATGTTCCTCGAAACAATTATACTTGATTTTATTTTAAACGTCAAGATCTATAGGGTAACAGCTTGGAGCCAAAATCTATAGCGCCGATCTCGGCACCAAGATCTATGGCGCCGAGGCCTTGTCCACGTCGGCGCCAGGTCACTGCCACGTTCGACGCCTCGCAAAGACCTCGGCGCCATTGTCCATAGCGCCGTAACGTGTTTACTCGGCGCCAAAAGCCATGGCGTCGAGGTCAGGGTCCATAAACGAAAATCAAACCATCAGGGGACTATTTGTGAATATTAAAAAAAGGCTTAAAAATAAAAAAATCGGTTTTTTCCCTCGGTCCCGGTTTAACTGCTCGTCTACAGTTCAAAAAATCTAAAATAAAGGAGTCGGGTTCATAAATCCGGGGTCCTTAATTGACCCGCTTTCCTACAAAACTCGACCCAGCAGGCGGCACAACGACAGCACACGCCTGGACCGCCAGATACACAATAACAGGGCCAAGACCACGATCCGGTCCCCGACCGGCACCAACGACCTCTAGGTCACGGGCTCCGCCTCACCCGACCTCTGTCTCCGACCAAGGATACGTCGGACCTCTGCTCGCTGCTCTTTCCCGACCGACACGGTCGGGGACGACTGGGAACGACCGACCGAGGACACCCGCTCGGTGTGGGCCTGGGGAGCAGATAAGGTAAGGCGCTCAAGTTAACCGCAATACCGAGGACCGTACCCTGCCATACCTTGTGCACCTGCAAGACGGTGCCTCCAGGTCATGACAGACTGACACTATACAACCTTCCAGACACGTTAGACCACAAACAGTATTGTGGATGTCGACATTTGTCGTACCAGGCGAACACGGTAGAGCCTGGCAGACGCGTCTGAGCATAAACAGTATTGTGGGCGCTGGCAGCCATCTCATACCCGATGGTATGAGCAACAAGACTAGGCAGCACACGTATACATTTTCTCTCTTTCTCTCAGACTTGTAAGGCCATCCCTTTCAATTATAAAAGGGGATACACTCTCCTAAAAAACGACGCTAGCTCTCTCTCTCGAAGACTTTCTCGACGACTCGAGAACACAACAGCTCAACAAGCTTTAGAGACACACAAAGCATACGCTCCAATACTTAGCTTACGTTAGAGCCCTCGTCACTCTCGGCCACTCGGTTTAGAGTCCGACCGGGCCTTCTCCCCTTCCTTCTACCACGCCTCGACCCGCCTATAAAGCTCCGAGCCACACCCCTCCTTCTCCCCTTTCTCGTCCGCTCGAGCTCCCACTCACCGCCGCCGCAATTCAGCCTCACCCGTGCCTTGAACCTCGTCGCCGACGCGCTCGTGAGCTCCTCCATGACCCGACGCAGCCGTAGGTGCCTTTCATTCGGTTTTGGTCATGGATTTCTCGGTTTTCCCTCACCCGCCCCCTCTTTCTCTCTCCAACCACCACCGCTATCGACCCGTGCTTCGGAGGCCTCCCGGACACCGCGCATCCTTCTTCCCGACTCGCGATGAGATTCTCGTTCCTGCTGTGCTCTCCGTACGTCGAATAGCACACTAGAACGCCGTATCGTAGATCACCGTCGTCGCCGGCCATTGCGCTACCGCGGGCCATCATCCCGACGCGTTCCCTGCCGTAGTTTTGCGCTCACTTGAGTTCGCGATTGCCCGTAGAACATTTTGGTGTGTTCAGTTGGTCTCGGGGAGGTCCAGAACGCCATCCAGGCGTCCGCCGCCGTGTCTTCCTCGCCACCGGCAATGGAGGGCTCGCCGGAGCCGCTGTGCTGCCGCCGGAGGTCGACCCGTCACGCCTACGCCGTCGGATCCCTCTAGACGGTCAGGATTAGATCCCACCGGTTGGATCATAATCGGTCCACCACAAGCCGTGGACTCGGCCCACGGTGCCGCGTGAGCACCCACGTCACCGGCCCACCGCACGCGTGGTGCACCGCACTCAGTCCGCACGTGCCACGTGGTTGCCTGGTTAGCACCTGGGGTCAACCCACAGTCAAGCCATGCATATTTTGCGAAAACCCCCCTCTGTTTTCGGTTAATTAACCCACAGTCCAGATTAATTCAAAAGAAATACAAGTTAGTCATGTTTTTATTCGTTTAGGTCCCTGTGTTTTCTAGAAATAGTACCCGCAGTCCAGCAGCCGTGTAATTACATATTTTTAATTGTTTTAATTCAAAAATAAGTTCAGTTTAATTACAGAAATGCCATCGAACCTTATTTTATGCGTAACTTTTGTGTTTTAAGTCCGATTTGACCCGTTTGAATTACGTTCTCTATGTGTTTATACTACTATTAGGCATGTTTTTAATATTTAAAATTCATGGGTATATTTAATCTATTATTTAACTAAAGTAAAACTTGTTTAAATCATAACTTATTAATTTTAACTCTGAAATAGTCCGTTCAAGTTGCGATAGATTCATAGCGACGAGATCTACGCTTTAGTAACAGTGTTTACTATATTACTATTTCTAAAAAATCACTGTTTAAATCATATCCTGATTAATAATTATGCAATTGGATTTTATAAATAAAATATGATTTGTTTTACTTTAGTTTTATAATATAATTCAAATCTAAAATTGACTTAATTTAATCTATATTATTTATAAAATATCTTTTATATATGAATTCATATAGTTAACATAAATGGAGCCTATAGCCTTCTTTTCCACG